AAAAATAAAAATCCATAAATAAATGAATAATTTACCTAGGCAATAATTCTGCTCAGCTGCACAATATATGAACAAGAATGTCAATCAATGAAGGAAAGTTCTTAATAGTGAAAAACCGGGTACAACTTCTAGCAATCTATTATACTAGTGGACTGATTAGACACATCATGGTATACCTATGCAGTGAGAAACCTGTGACCAGTAAAAGGAAGAAGGTGGGTCTCCACAGTGACAAGACACTCCAGGTATACCGTTAAACAAAGCCAATTTCCGAGCAGTACTCGAACAATAAACAGTTTCATATATCCATGTTATATATACAAACATACACCCACCTACCTGTAGATTCATACACATATATAAAACACACATGTATGTAGATATACATATAAAATAACTGACACAAAAGAAAAAATAGGTCTAAAAAATAACAAATTCTCATAGATGCTCTGAAAATAAGCATCCCTTGTTTGACTTGCAAACATATGTTTGGTCTATACAATATTTAATCTTTTTTAAATTAGTAGAAACTTTTTAAAACAGAAATATCACATAAAAATTCCAATTTTTAGCTCCGCATAAGACATCAGACTATCTCATGATATCGGATTTGTACTAAGCAGCTATTAAGGGCTATTACTTCAGTCCCTTGCAGTATCTGCCTGGCTCGTGTAGGCATCTGAGTTCTTGGCTCCTGATCCACAGCCTTTCTGGCTGGTTACCCTTTCATTTTGTCCTGTAACTCGGTTTCATCCTTCAAAGTCCTCCAAAAACACCAGTTTTCCTGTAAGCCCATGTCTACAGTTTGAAAGATGAAGACTGCCAATCGCATATCCAGATGGTTGGCATTTCCCCGTGAACTACGGAAGCGAAACAAAGGAGGCACCCAGGCACAGTACAAAAGTGACTGGGCTCTAAATAAGGGATCGTACGTGGAGGTCAAGGCCATCCCACTGATCAGCCCTGACTCTGGACAATGCAACCTCTCTGTCTCAGTTTCCTCATGCACACGGAGGTCACATGCAGCTTGAATTACTTCCAAGAGTGTTATTATTTGCATTTGAAATACCTAGCAATGCTTCCTTGCCTTGTGTTAACAGTGTTCAGTGACTGTAAGGAGCTGGTGCTAAGGAACTCGAGTAAGTTAAAAAGAGTAAGATGTTTCTCTGGCACTATCGTTCTTACTTCAGATCAGATGCTTGTCCGATAGTCACGTAACACCTGGGGCCGCTCTAATCCATCACTTGCTAAGAACAGCTGAATTTTACCACAGTGGGACTCCAACACGGGGAAGATCACTAAGCAAGAGTCTCTCTTTCTGCAAAAGCGGAGCTCCATAACATGGCAAAATGGCGAACTGTCTCCCGAAAGAACCTATGTGATGACTCTGTACCCCTATGAAATTCATATTCAATGATCCAAGAGATTAGATTTTTTAAATTGGAAAAGCAATCCATTACCCACAGAGCAGACTCCCTGTACTGCCATGTCTTTCTCTTCACATCATCTTCCAACTGTGCATTTGTGATGTGCCTCTGTATATGCTACGTGATTTCAACTGCGTAAGACACTAAGGGGAAGATAGAAGTATGGCGGCACATACCTATAATCCAGCACTCAGGAGGCTGAGGCAGGAGGATCACTGCGAGTTCAAGGACAGTCTAAACTATACAAAGAGACTCAAAACAAACAAACCAACAAACACACACTATGGATAAAAGAGACTATCTTGGGGTGGGGTGGGGAAGATCATGAGGTTTCCTTCCATTTCTAGTGTTTCCTAAATTTTCTGGGATGAGCACATACTTACTCCTGTTTCCTGACAAGTTTTATAATTTGGAACTCTGGGATCAATGGGGTTCAATCTCTGCACATTTCTCAACCAAGGTTGAGAGGTCATGCATTTTCTCCTCTGCAGCACCCCAAGGGCAGCACTGGACTGAGATCACGTTTTATGCTAACTTTTCAGCTTGGGGACTCCTGAGCCATCCAAGAAGTTTAAATTCAAGCCTCCAACCAATGTGTGGGTAAACTCATAGTAAAAAATTACCTAAAAAGATCTTTTCCCATCCACAGCCCAGACCAAGAGAAAAATGCTTCTTTGTATTTAACATGTACTGGGGGCAAATTTATTTTGTATCAACTTTTGATTGAGGGAAAACCTTCAAGGGTATTCAAGTTTCTCTTGGCCAGGGGTTTGTCTCATATCTGAAACACTCTATTAAAAGACAGCATCAACTCCTACAATCTTATACCTTAGGTTTAGTTTCCTCTTTGTCTTTGACCTTGAAAAACTGTCTTTTTTTTTTTTTTTTTTTTTTCCCTGGAACAGAATCTTACTATATAGCTCAGGCTGGCCTCAAACTATCAGTCCTCCTACTTCAGCCTCCCAAGTGCTGGGGTTACAGGTATATGTCACCATGCCCAGTAATTTCCTTATATTCTTGTAAACCTTATGCATTAAAAAAAAATAAACCTGTCATATTTTAGACAGGATTTCTAGGTACCTTGTAACTGGAGAATTTTTAAATTTGCTACATCTCAGTATCAGAAACAGTAATTGTATGCACTCCTTTTGTGATGGAAAATAAAATCCTGAGGAGATTAAAATAAAAATAACTGGGCACAGTGGCAATGCCTGTAATCCCAGCATTTCGGAGACTAGAGGCTGGAGGATTGCCACGAGTTAAGGCCAGCATGAACTACATAGTGAGACCCTGTCTCAAAAATACATAAATAAGATAAAATATAACACCAAGCTTACCTGGGCAGCCTGAAAAGACAGTGAATGGCGGTACCACAGTTTCTGGAGGTAAGACCGTATTGTCAAGAATTTTGCAGCAATCTTTCAGCACACATCGGCGCCCCTGAAATGAAAATCTTTTCAATAAAAAGTAGATCAGGAGACCGGAGGCAAAGGCTATCTAGTCTGCTGTATTAAAGGCTGTATAGTCTCCATTTCTGACATGGAATAGCCACAGACAGTAAGGTGAGTCTTAAATCACAACCACCTGTTTCAGATGATAACTTACAAAGAGGAGAAAGGGCCGAAGGGAGTATTACATGCACACACGGGGAAGGTGTGTACGGTTGGGACAGTGCAGGTTATCTTAGACATCAGAAACAATGCTCCTGCAAGAGTTCTGTGTAATTTTATCTCTTATTTGACTTAGTGGACGTCTATTGTTTTGCTCCCCTTTCTCGTGGAAAGAAACACTCTATTTTCCTTGGGAACCACCCCTCCTTCCGTCTCAGTCTATGTGTTTCACCCCCGGTTCACGCACCAAACTCCAAGCCTGACCACGGTGCCTGCTTTAGGGAACTGGCATTTGAACCAGCTTGGTCTAATGAACCTCAACCTCTGGGCTTCTGCTGGGTGTACTGGGAAAAGCAACGTTTTCCATTACACTTTCCAGAGGGCACGACGAAAGCCTCGAACAGCTATCCCATTTCCATGAAGGAAGAACTTGTTGAAAGTGAAGTGAACCTTCCAGAGGAAAGAGAAGAGAGGAAGACTAATTCTCATGGCATCAGCTGAGCCCCTGGAGCCCTCTGTGCATAATACCGGATTCACCTCTGTATTCCGGGCTCACATCAGCTAACAAATTCAGGCTGCACCTATCGGCCTAACGTCTGCTTGCTCTTTTGTCAATTCCACCTAGAAAAGTCTTGGCAAACTCATTTGTAAATGAAATTATTAGTTTGTTGCTTGTTCTCCCATAACAAAAGGACAGTTACTTGAACGTTTCGGCTGACTGAATTTTATGCCAGACTTTATTTGTCATTACCATCTTTCAGTTCTGCCACGATCCACAGCATTTTGAGGGTAGGAAATAAGGGCATCTGTTTGATGGATGAAAGAACAGAGAGGCTTGTGTATACAGTTAAAAGCTGCACTTCAGACTATTCACTAAGTTAATGATAGTTTGGGCCTTTATTAGTTACGTTTACATCACCACAGACTGAAAGTTCTCTTGTATTCTGGTTTAAAAAAAAAAAGTCTGATAAAATACACCTGCCTGAGAATGTGGACATTTAAACAAATACCAGGATAATGCTAACCTATGCACAACTAAAATTCTACCATAGAATACGGAAGACACTTTGACGTCACTGTGTTCAAATTTTCCACCATTATTAAATAGCCAAATCATACGTATTTCCGGGAAAAGGCAGACTGCCAATGAATTTTTCACAAGGGTTGTGTTTCCGAGGTCTGAGTTTCCCAAATGGCTAAGCCTCCTCCAGGTGGATGAAGAACAGCACTGGCACTGCTTGGCAACATCTTTAGCTCAGAAGCAAGTTTTAAGCACAGCTCTTTGTTCCTCTCTTGAAGAGTCTCTTCCACGAATTATCTGCTGGCGGTTATTTCAAAGATACAGCACCTGGCGACTTCCCCTGGGGACCTCTAAATTAACATTATTAAGACTTTTGTCTTAACCGAGCACAATCATATAGGGCCGAGGGAAGGAAACTGAATGCACTGAATAAGGCACGCTTCTGTCCCATGTTGGGATCGGTCTATACAGGGCCACGGAAAGGAATGGGGGGAAGGAACCTTCTGGTGGGGTGTCACCAGCCAGCAGACAGCCTGTAGACAGGCACCTGCTTTGTCCACTGCCTGGCCACCCTGTCCACTTGGAGAAAGAATGGTTAACGGGTTTTACAAGCATTCCGAGCAGACTGAATAGCAGCAATATAAAAAACACACACATTTCTTAAGCATAAATGGAGTGGTAGTAGCCAAAGAGGTAAAATGCTAAAACCACTTCTTTATTCTTCACTAGAGAACTTTCCAAGGAGGAATCCAGAACTAGCAACCTGTAGCCAGCTTGCTAGCATTACCTATACTCACCTATAGAGTTACCTGTGTACATCTTTATGCAAGTAAATTAGAATCTCTGAGCCTTGATCCCCTCATCTATGACAGGACAGAAAACCAAACCTACAGGGATGTTGTCAACATTAGAAATGACAAATACAAAACCCAGGGCACGGTAACAGTGCCTATGAATATTGCCTGTTAAGCCTTTCCTTCCTACATGTGAGTGACTGGGTTGACACGGACACCTTCCCCATCCAAGCAGTAGCCTACGCCATGGGTCCCTGCAGGAAGGCTCTCCATGTCATGAGGAGAGCTAAGCCTTGAAAAGAGTTCCCACCAGCTCTGAGATTCTAAAATTCAAAAAAGCAATCTCTCCTGAGATTACCTGAGAATTCCTCACGGCTCAGCAACTATTGCCAATACGAAATACTAGTGAGGTTATGAACTAATGTACTGAAAAGTGGCATAAAAAGCAGAGAGGACGTGATGATAGGACTAGTGCTCCCTAATGCTGGGGATGGAATCTCGATTTCAACCTCTCAGACATTTCGCTCTGAGGACGGAGGACAGGGTTACAGCACTAGGCTGGTATGTGATGTCTTTGCTTTGCTAAGGAAAGTGCCCGAAAAACATAATGTGGTTTGGAAGGCTAGCTACTGGCAAACAGGCCGAGGGAAGAGGACAGATTTTCCTAGCTCTCCTCCACCTTTCAAAAAAAACTGTTTTTTCTTTAAATCACACTCTCATGTGTAAACATCATATTGCCTCCCTGGTGTGAGAAACTGACCAAGTAAATAAGGTCTAAAAGGTACAAAGGATGTCGTAAAATGGGAAGAAATTGTTTAAAAGGAAAAAGGAACTAGGATGAGGGGGAGAGGAAAGGAAAGAAGGGAAGGGAGAAAAATGCAAGTCAGCCATACTATTAGTATGTCTTAGTTCACTGAAAAGGAAAAGTTTGTGCTAATATCAATTAGAGAATTTTGTATGCCCCTATCTTGTACTCCAACTACTGTGAAGACGACAGTATGCATTGTATTAACTACTTTTATTCTCCTTTTGTTATGAAATTGTTTTACCTTTTTTCAATAAAATGAACAACTTGGGGCTGGGGATTTAGCTCAGCGGCACAGCGCCTGGCTGGCAAGCGCAAGGTAATCCTCTCTGCTACACTGAGATCAACTTTTTAATCTTCCCCTTTTCTTCAACATCAGGCTAAATCAAAGACCCTCTGTCTCTAGCACACACTACAGAATTTCTCTGGAGCAGAATGGCAAAACAACTACTGCCCCTAACTCTGTGTAGCAATTCAGACTGGCATGCTTACTGCAGCAACACAGCTCTCCACGACACTGTCTACTTCCGGGGTCCCCCCATGGCTCCTAAACTGTGAACTTGCTGGTTCTGCAAGTTTTCTGATACTTACAGCAGTGGTGGCGAACCTATGGTGTGAGCATTGTTGTGTTTCTCTTTTAAGACAAAACATGTTAAAGGTTTGCCATCACTGCTCTAGGATCTGAGTCTTAGGACAGAGAGCTGGCTCTACAGTAATGGGAACGACCATTAAAGAAACATATAAATGATCTCAGCTTTTCCTAGACTCTAATCTGAGATACACATCTAAAAGGTACAAAACAAGGGGCTGGGGATTTAGTTCAGCGGCACAGCGCCTGCCTGGCAAGCATAAGGTCATGAGTTCAATTCCCGGTACCGGGAAAAAAAAATAATAAATAAATAAATAAAAGGTACAAAACAAACATTATGGCAGACAGATCAGCTCTACTCATTAACATTCTCACCTAGTTACGTTCTCAGAAACTCCAACAGAAATTAGGCTTTTTGTCAATGAAACAACAAAAAATCCAGGCCTTGGTTTGGTAAAACAAACTATTTTTGGTTTTCTTGTTGCTGTTCTGAGATAGGGTCTCACTGTGTAGCTCAGGCTGGCCTTGAGCCCCTGGCGCCCCTCCTGCCTCTGCCTCTCAGTGCTGAGATTACAGGTGTGTACCACCAGGCCCAGTGGGCGACACAGACTGACGCCTACACTTCTATGGATCAAGATCTTACAGGTGTGTCTGTCTGTCAATATGTTTTCCTTCTTTTATTTTTAAAATAAATTTCTAAAAAAAATTTAAAAAATAAAAGTAAAAAAGATCTTACAGGTGCTGCTGGGCAAGGGACCTATTTATACCTACACGCTTTGCAGTTCTCCTAACATGCTGTCCTTTGACGATTCTAAACCTTGCACTCACGCCAATCCCCTAATGGACTGGAAATGCCCAAGCTCCCCGAGTCTCCTCTGCCAATTTCCACTTGCTCTTCAGATCCTCTTGCCTCTATCGGACTGTCTGCTCCTTTAAGAAAGGAAACAAGCAGGCTATACAGTAGCTTAGCTAGTCATGCTGCCTGAATTTAAATTCTAGCTCTACTATCTACTAGCTTTGTCAAATCCCTTAATACCTATTCTCATTTGCAAACACACAACAGCACCTACCATCCTTAAACAAAGTAACTACTAAGTGGAAAGAGTTTAACCTCACAGAAAAGAGGTTCTATGAAGCCAGCCACTGTCATTAACACAGAGGAAAAAAACCTCCAAATCCTACAAGCCCCAACCTCAGACGACCAGAAACTACTCCGACCCTGCTTAGTCGGAGAAGCAGCGTCCCACTGATGCAAGGGACGAGGGATGAAAGTAGAGAGGGAACAAGGTTGCTTAGTCAGCATACTTACAATCACACAGTTCTTGCCAACGTGAACGTAAGAACCAATCTGAGCGGCGTTGACCACGCAGTCTTCCTCAATAAAAACGTGGTCCCCAATGTGTAAAGGAAAGAACGCAACACTAGAGAAGGAATAGATCAACAAAAAAAATGTCAAGGTGATATACGTTGTGTCAAGGTTTATACAAGTATAGACCATAATCTCAACTAGTTTATCCTGTCTTTTTTGGTTTGTTTTGCTTTTTGAGGCAAGGTCTCACTATAGAGTTCAAGCTGTCCTTAAACTTACTTTTTAGGCCAGGCTGGCCTTGAACTCATAGTGATCCTCCTGCTTCAGTCTCCTGAGTGCTAGGATTGTAGATGCATACCACAAAGCCCAGCTTTCATCTTATCTTAATAAAAATATGTTCCTAGCCAGGGCATGGTGGCACACACCTGTAATCCCAGCACTCACTCGGGAGGCTGAGGCAGGAGGATCCCTGTGAGTTCAAGGCCAGCCTGGGCTACATAAGTGAGTTCAAAGGCAGCCTGAACTGCATAGTCTCAAAAAGACCCTGTCTCAAAAAGATAAAAAAAAATTATTCCTAGCAAGGAAAGAATCCTCAGACTAGAGAAAACCTATTAATTTTCTGGTTCATAATCAAAACTTTATTGTTAAGTTAATTAAAGCTTTCTGTGAGAAAGCACAAATTCGGCAGGTTGTATAGATCATTAGTGTTGCTTTCTTCTAAATGAGCAACCTTCTGTGAGTGTGGCCTTTCCTCTTTTAGGCTGGCACAGCACTGCTGAACAACCTACACAAAGAAGCACTGTCTGAGCACGGCCGAAAACTATGCTAATGTTACAGCAATTTGGACATTTTACATCCACAAAAATAAGAATCTGGACTTGGAACTAGCTGTTTCCTTTTATGTTTTTTCTTTTTCTCCTTCAAAGAAGATATAGTAAATCTCTAGCCAAAGGCATGGTGATCCTCTCAAAACCCCAGCCTGACCACTAGCTCAAAATCAGAAATATTAGAAGAAAGAAATATGCAAGGAAAAGGCAGGGCAGAAGGAGTGAGATCTTCAAAGCTAGAAGAGCAGGCACCAAATAAAAATGAATGGATATCTGCTCCTTTCTGCTTCCTGTGACAATGATCACAGACCCCATTTTTAGTAATCTACCCCATGTTTCAGGGTACTGACATCAGGTTCACGGGCTGTAACTTTTAACACCCAACGTTCTTATAATTTATTCACTCACTGTATTTATTGAGTACCTACTATGCACCAGACTCAATGCTGTATTCCTGTGGGATACAATGGTAAGCAAAAGAAACACAGTCCTATCAATGAGTATAATCAAGAGAAGGAATAGATTTAGCAGATGACTATATAAGACTATAATTAGTTACAACTGTGACAAGTGCCACGGAGACACAACATGAGAGTGTATTATATGGAGACTTTACCTCCATCAGGGGCCTAGGGGAACATAATTGAAAGTGATAGTTAAGGCAAGACTTGAAGGATGAATAGGAGCTGACAGGCCTTCTCCATGCTTCTGACATCATTCTCACTCTCCAGGATCTTCAGTGTCATTGACTACAGTTTTGTGGTCGTATTTACTAGGTCATATTTTTAAATCTCTGGCCTGGAACTGATTTAAAGTAGCTACCTGCTTACTAGCTCTTTCCAGTCCTGTACTGTTATCAGAAATATTTTGCCAAAGACAGTATCTATCCTTCATGACCCGTGACTTTCTGAAATCTTCCTTAATTTGTTGGTATATTTTGTCTGTATCCTTTGTGCAACAATAAATTCTTTGATCTCATCACAGTCTGCAGCAATACGATAATTCTTTAATTTTAAATTATAAACCCTAAATTTTAAAGTATTACTGACTCTGGTATGGTATCCAGGGAGAACTGACATTCATCTTCTATTTGTGTTTTCCTATTTATACTTTCACATTTCTGTATCTCTCATGCAGACTACACAATGTACACACTCCTCCACTTACCAGTAAACCCTGTCTGCTGGCACATGAGCCATGCTGCCCCAGCAGCCAAGCACTCAGATTTAATTGCAGTGTTGACGCTTTGCAGTAAGTAAGTGGGTTTTTCGTTGCGGTTTGGGCGCTCGATCTCTAAAAGGTTCGCCATCACTGCTCTAGTCCAGTGTCACTATAGCAAATGTAGGATTATTGCTGCATGATATACACCTACACACTGTAGTTAGTTGACATAGTTTCTCCTTTCTCTGTTCTTCCTTAACTATGTGCAGAGGTCTCAAGTATGAGAGGTAGCACATTACAGAGAAGCTATCACATTGTAGTATTCCGTTATATTAGCTACCTGTTTACATAATTGTTTCTACCACTAGATTATGAGGCCTTTAAGACCAGAAACTCTGTATTATCCATGTTCATATGCCAAGTATATAACCAAGACCTGGCATAAGGAGTTCAATAAACACATACTATACTGACTTCACAGATGAATGCAGGTGGCACCAGACATGGAAGCTAGGAAGACAATTAGCAAAGAGGGAGAGAGGCAAAGGGGCTGCTACCACAGCAGGCATGCTGGTCAGTTTTCCTGTTCTTGGCCTTATTTGTTTGTTTGTGACAGGGCCGCACTACATAGTTCAAGCTGGCCTTGAACTCGGTTTGTCGCCCAGACTGGCCTCAAACTTGTGGCAACCCCCTGCCTCAGCCCCACCCCAATCCCTGAGTGCTGGAATTACAAATGTGCACCACCACATCCAGTCTTGTTCTCGTCCTTCTATGGCTTATCTTCACTCCCTCTGAGGAATCAGGGGGTCTAACTTGACTGGACCGTCTGGGTTAGCTACTTAGACCAGGAGTGGGTACTCAACTGAAGCTGAGCCAATGAGATTCTCTCTCCCCTAATTTTGGAAATACAATATAAGATCTCACTGAGTGTGGTGGAGCATGCCTGAAATCCTAGTACTCAGGAGGCTGAGGCAGGAGGACTGCTGTGATTTCAAGGCCAGCCTGTGCTACATAGTGAGTTCAAGGCCAGCCTGAACTATATAGCAAGACCCTGTCTTAAAACAAAACAAGATACAAGCTCTCCAGTGTTTGCATAAATGGAAAAGTGATATAAATAAGGACCTGAAGCAGCAAGGTAGGCTCCACACACGAAGGAGAGAGGTACAGCCAACCTGAAGGAAAGGAAGATGAAACCAGACATACAGAGAGGAGAGAACACAAGAACCAGGATAATCTTGGAGACAGAGGGGTAGAGAGAACAGATGTCTTGACTGTGACTAGCTGTCCAGTTGTAAGTTTTAGTCCTTGTGAGGCCTCTCCTTTTCCTACTCTTCAGAGTCTACCAAATCTGCCTGTGTATGTTAAGTTAAAAAGCCCCTTTGCTTTTGCCCTCTTCAGTAGATTTTGTTTCTGGCAACCAACCACCAAGCGGACTAGGACAACTACCGCCACAGTGACGTTCACCGTGGGGAACACCTACTCGGAGCCACAAACAAGAGAGAGCGCCGCTCATTACGCCACTTCTCAACACACGGACAATACTACTAGCAGCAGCATCTCGCCCAAGGCTGGAACAAGGTAACTGAATGGCATACCCTTTGCTGAATTTCTTGAATGGTGGCCTTATAACACTACGACTCTTCACAACACAATGGCGTCCAACTCTTACATTTGCCAGGTCCCCTCGGATTATACAGTCATTCATTACGATGGTCTACAAAACAAAGCACATTTTAAACACTTACCTACGTAGCCCCAAACATAATGCAAAAGGATAGGTAACAGGACACTATTATGTTATGGCCCACTGCATCTAATATTCTGCCAAAAGGGATAAGATAAAGGGAGGGTTGCTGTCATGACACTGGCTGCAAATTGACACTGGAGATGTTCTACTACATTTGAGGATTTCCCCTTAATATTCTATGACCAGAACTCAATGAATGAAATGTAGTGAGAATGGCTGTAACAGACTTAGTCTGTGTGTCTCTTTAGACTCATTCAGGTCCACCCGCCCTTCAAGCGTTGGCTATGTGTTCAGTGAGAGTCCTAGGTGTTCCCACTCTTTTTTTTTAATCTCCTAACACTACTGTCTTCCGCTTCCCACTGCCAGAGGCGGAGCCATTTAAATTCTGGTTCTTCTCCCACTTCTAGACCCAGGGTAAATACTTCACTGTGTGGAGTAGATCTGGCTTCCCCAGAGCCTGTGTGGAGGGGCTGAAAAACACACCAAGTAATCCAGGGGGACTTACGCTCCATACTGGTAAAGAGGAGGCATTCTCAAAATATGTGAATAAATGAATAGGACTTGAAAGTGCATATATCTAGTTTTGCAGCTGTAAAGTAGCCAAGACAGCAGATTATAAGAATGGTATATGCTGAGCATACATGCGTAGACTTTTTTTTCCCTATAGGCTATCAGCAAAATGTTTTAAATAGAGGATTAATAGAACTGAATTTTCATTTCAGAACTATTACTCTGGAAGCAGTCTAGAGTCTAAATGGAGAGACTACAGCTGAGACTGGAGGGAAAGTAACCCTTTAAATGAGTACATTGGATCAAGGTAAAAATAGATAATGGGCCTTGTTTACGGCAATAGAACTGAAATGAAAAATACATAGAAGTGAATAATCAAGCTTCTATGTACTGAGGAAACAAACTGAGGGAACCGAGGGAAACAAATGCCATGCTAAACAATTCTATGTGGATATAATCTACCAAACTCAGGAATTTAAAAACTTGACAGGATAGTAATTTAATTTCTGCACTATATAAATGTCATGAAGGAGGGGCTGGGGATTTAGCTCAGGGGCACAGCACCTGCCTGGCAAGCACAAGGTCGTGAGTTCGATTCCTGGTACCAGAAAAAAAAAAATGTCATGAAGGAAAAGGGGTGAGGGAAAGAGAACGCTTACTGATTAAAAGAGACTTAAGGGACATATTCAACCAAATTCAGCGCGTGCATGACTCTTGGGATTCTGATTTGAACAAACCAAGTGCTGCGATGACAGGCGTGCGCCACCGTGCTAAGCCTGTGCATTAATTCTGGTTCTCAGTGCCACTTATCTGTTACTTCCTTTTATTGATTTTTGCACTCAACAAACCCAATCTGGAGAAAAAGGAGTTAGAAATGTACAACAATAAATAGCAGACACAACACTTTAATCTACCCTGCTAATGTGACAACTCGCGGGAAGCAAGCAAAGGTGCACACATCCTGGAGCTGCTTTGTCCCTTACCTTGCCATTGAGAACAATGTTCTGGCTTCCACACAACACGGACTGGCGACTAACTTTATTCCCAGATGCCTACAAGGAAATAACAGAAAATTGAACGGATTTCTGGGCTAAGGTTTCCAATGGAGAGAAAACAACTGAAATGGAAGAGGTCTAAAACGGCTTTTTTTTGTTTGTTTTTTTTGAGACAGGGTCTCGCTATGCAGCTCAGGCTGGCCTCGAACTTGCAAGGATCCTCCTGCCTCAGCCTCCCGAGTGTTGGGATCGTTGCGAGCTCGAGGCCAGCGTGGGCTACAAAGTGAGCTCAAGGCCAGCCTGAGGTGCATGGCGAGACCCTGCCTCAAAAAGACAAAAAAAAAAAGCACTTGACAGTTTTCAGCATGTTAATAAATTACAAAATATTATTAAAAAAAACGTTTCAGCGGCCCGAAGCGCGGAGACGTAATCTTTTCCCGGAGACGCGACTGTTACAGGCGGCGCGGTGCCCGCGGAAAATCGGGCCCGCGTATGCACGCCGAGCGCGGCCGCGCAGGCCGGACGCGGCGGGAGGGGCGGG